GTTCTATTACGTTTATTACTTAGCTCAGGATTATTTGCAGTATGTGCTCCAGGAATCACAGCTCGGACCAGCCCAGACCAGGGTTGCTCATGTCTTGCGAACCATTGCATCTTCCCTGCAAGACCAAACCGAGGAGGCTCTCAGGCCACTCCTGGACAGGATTGACATCACCTCTGTAGCTGTTGCCAAGAGAATTTTCAATGGAGTCATGGATGAAAAGTTTGCTGATGGAAATACTAACTGGGGACGAATTATGACCATATTTACATTTGGAGGTCTTCTCACCAAGAAGCTTCAAGAGCATGGAGTTCAGCTGACTGCAGAGGAGAAGGAGGAGATCTCTTATTTCATCACAGAGTACATCATAAACAACAAAGCTGAATGGATTGATGCAAATGGTGGCTGGGTGAGTTTCTCATTTTCCACCAAAGTCTAGATTAGGAGATTTCATTAATTATTACTATAGACACTGTCAAAGCCATTTTATTCAGGGTTTTATTTGGTGGTTTAATATTTGTCGCCTTAAAATTTCCATTATTAAATCTAAAATTAAGTGGCATCCTAAGGTCAGTGCAGCAATTTTGCCTTCATAGAGGAGTTGGTCCAAAAATACTTAATTTCAAGGTAAGGAAAGAATACACAGGTGTGATCCTCACAAATGAAGTCAGCTGTGGATTTCAAAAAAGCCATTATTTAATCCCCCAAATCAGTTTTACTTACAACAAATGTACAGATAAGTACAAGTGGTATTAAATCTTTTCTGTTTGGACTGAGATAATCCTAGAACTTCCATCTGTGAATGGTCAACGCTGAGAAAAATACTCATTACTAAGTGGACTGTTTTGCCAAGCTGCTAAAATTCCCATTCTGCCAGTGAAGGGAAATTTCCTTTTGCTCTGCAAAGTTTGCAAAGTTTTATCACACCAATACTTCTTTTTTTTTTGCAGTTAGGGGAATCTGAGAATCAATGACACAAGTTATTTCCTTGGTACTTTTTTCCTTTACTTATATGTAAATGTCACTTTCTCTTTCCACCCCCTCTCATCCCACTTCTCTCATATTTCCTGCTAGTTTTTTCCCCCGATTTATTTTCTAGTGTCTTGCTTTTCTTTTTTTTTAATTTCTGCTTGCTTTAATCCTTCTCTGTAGCAGCAAAAAAAAAAAAAGGTGATAGTGACTCATAACCCCTTGATGCATCAGATTTATTATAAAGGCTTCTCTTTCCAACTCTTTCAAATAGAGTCAATTTTATTTCAGAGAAGTATCAACTCCTGGCAACATTCTGTCATAATAGGTGGCTCATCATAGTAGAATAAGGAAGCTTAAAGGGAGATATTTCTGAGTGTATTACTACATCATAAACATAGCACTTGTACCTTCCTGGAAGATGTGGGCTCAGATGATAGAGTTCACATTTGTTTTCTATTTACACAGGGAGGGCATAGTCTTGATTTGGAGATAAAACAAACATTCAGCAAGGTGCAGCTATTTTCAGCTACTATTTTTAAAGCTCTATTCATCTTTTGGAGGCAGAGCTCTGAAGGGCTGTCCCTCACTGCACACTGCTGCAGCACTGTTAATCTGACACAGAGAGCCGTGTGGTTTCCCTGCATGTTGTTTTTAAACTGTCCCTAACTGTGCGTGCTCTTTTCCACAGGAAAATGGCTTCCTAACAAAGTTTGAAAGAAGATCACTACTGTCTTTCTCCAAAATTACAGCCCTGCTCATAGCTGTTGTTTCCTTGTTCAGAGAGTACTACTGAAGTAAAAGGATCTGCCATTCATGTAATCTAGGTATTGCCACAAGCTTCACTTCTCAGCCTTCCTCCAAGTAATATCAACAAGAGAATAATTTCCTTTTATAATTTGTTTTTAATTTATTTGTATTTATTTTGACTAAATACAATGTTTAACATGCCAACCTAATTACCAAATATGAAGATGAGATCCTTCCAAAGGGGAATCTGCACAACATCATGCAGCAATTCAAGTCCACCCTTACAGGCAGCATTGCTTTGAGATCATTTTCCACATCCAGACAGTTCTTGGAATCTCTCTTGCATCTCCATGAAAGGACATTGTCTTAGTGAAATACAATCCAATGGGTTAAGAAACAAGTTTTTATTTCATTTGTTTTGTAAATGAAATACTACTGTAATGCATTTTATTGCAACCTCTGTATAAGAAAAAGGTGGGGGGGATTTTTTTGAAGAATAAAGAAACAGGAACTCCAGTATAGAAGTGGGTAGAAGTTACTGACACAGACAATTTCTATTGGAAGAACTGTTTGTGGAAAATAGCAACTTAAAAATGTGCACTCACTGTTATAGCAATGGTATGTGTTTCTGTGCTGTATTTTTTTAATCTCTCACATCTACAACGAATGTTCTTTTATATTTGTGTGATGTAGTCATTTGGCTGAATGTTTTTTAAACTAGATGTTTAAAAATAGGCAAGTAGAAAATATTTTTTATAGGAGAAATTTGTGTAAATACACTAATATTTTAAGAAAATACATTAAAATATGTAATTTAAAGTCATAAGATTGGTCTCTTTTTTTCAGAAAATCTGGAGCATGGGAAAAGATCTGCCTTAGGACAATAATCTTAGAAAAGTTATCACAATCTATTGGAAAATCCAGGTAGTTTAAGGGTTTGATCTTATGTCCATGGATGTCAAGACATTAATTTTCTGCAGTACTTTTTAGTTACTATCTGGAAGCTTGTATAAGAAACAGGTATCTTGTGGCAAAATAAATGAACTGGATCAGCTCTGATGACAGTAATTAGTGTTTTAGGATACAACATAGAATTCAGCAAACTCAGAGAGTGATGCAAGAGACTTCCAGACTTTTGCAGTCTGGGGCAATTCATGTTTTTACTCGAATTCATTTCATTTGCTTTCAAAGGCTAAACAGTAGTTCTTCAAGAATTCATTCTAGAAGGGTTTTCTTCAGCTGTAGTGACTTTCCATCAGGGAACTAAGGCTGGGTCCAAACACCCTTCTTCTTTTTTCAGATGTGCTGGGAGGTGAACCAAACTGAGCCAGCAGTTCACCACCACTGTTGTCTGAGACAGACCCTCTAGAAAATCCAGCTTTGTGACACTGAGAGATTGAATTAGCTTCTTCTGCTATGGGCTCTCCATCTTTCATCTCAACATAAGACTTTTTTTTGCAGTAAGAACAATTGTTTATTGGAACAGCCTGTCCAGGGATGTGGTAGAGCCCTCCTCCCTGGCAGTTTTCAGGATACAACTGAACAGGGCACTGGACAGTTTCATCTAGGCTCCCTAATCCAGGAAAGGCTGGACCACATGAGCTTTCAATGTCCCTTTCTGTGATTCCATGGTCTAACTTGGTGTGTTTAACCACAGAACACAAACAGATGTTAATGTTTGTTACAGCATGTATTTATCCCTCTCCCTCCCCGGTGAAAAGAAGAAATAATTAACATGCAGGTGGGATTTGTGAGGTAAACTTTGTTGCTGTTGAAGAAAAGATGGCAGCGTTCAGAGGGCAAGGGGCAGCTAAAGGAAAACGCCCAGCTCCACAACACCTATGGTGGCACCCATCAGAAATGACATTTCAAAACATGGTGTGGCATATACGTGTTTATTAGCAGTCTGTCTTCATGGTAAGAACAGCAATTCTTACTCAGCTCCTTTTTGAGCACTGCTGCGAGCATGTATTATAGTGGCTAACACCAATCTATTAATACCACATCCACTTCCTTTTACACTGATCTAGTAACCTATTTCATACTCAGAAGTACAATTTTTTAGTTAAATATAAAGGGCGACTGAGTCTTTTCAAAATGTAGGTGATACAATAAATTTAGAACTTGCTTTCATGGTAAGGGCAGGGTTTAAACAAAAGAAACCTGGATCATTAATGGTCCAGTGGGGTACAGGTTAACTTCACCAGGACTAAACCCCATTTTTTCAGTGCAGAGTAAGAAAAGCAGTGATGAGATGTACCACCACAATTCTAAGCAGTGTAAAACACCTGAAAACAGCAGGGCTACTAGCTAAGTTTTATAAAATAGTATAGCTGTAACTGGCATGAAGTTATTCACACATGACACTGAGTAGTGCCCAGGTCCTGGGGCACTCCTGTTTAAGGGATCCTTGGATCTGCCAGGGGAGAAACACGTGCTGCTTCTAGAGCAAAAGGTGAGGTCAAAGAGCTGCCCAGTGGGACAGCTGATGACTTCATCCATACACACAGTAGCTGAATTGAAATGTCATCAAAAGCCACACGGAAGAGATTTATTAAAACTGTTCTCCTATAGAAATGTCTCTTTCTGCACTTAAAATCACAGAATCAGAAAAAACTTCTGAGGTCATTGAGTCCAACCTTTGACTGGTCAGCACCTTGTCAACTGGAGCACGGCACTAAGTGCCACATCCAGTCATGACTTGAACGCTTCCAGGGATGGTAACTCCACCACCAGGGATGGTAACTCCACCACCAGGAATGGTAACTCCACCACCAGGGATGGTAACCTCACCACCAGGGATGGTAACTCCACCACCAGGGATGGTAACCCCACCACCAGGGATGGTAACTCCACCACCTCCCTGGGCAGTGTTTTGGACCCAAAGGCCTCCCTCGGGCCGTGGCCGGCACATCTTCCCTGTGGGCACAGCTCCTGGGCAGGGCACCGATGGCCACCTGAGCCCCAGGCACCGCCACGGGGATATATGAAACTGCTCGGCAGACGCTGCTAAAACGTCCCGCCGAAATGTACTTTCCCTTCCTACAGCAAAATTAGAGAAGAGGAAATTCTTTGCGATCTCCGCCAGGGAGAAAAAAAAAAAAGGAAAAAAAAAATAAATAAAAAGGCTGGTGTTGGCAGGGACCCCCCACGCCGGTGGGGCCGGTGCCACCCGCGCTCGGAGCGGCGGCCGGGCGGGCCCGGGCCGCCCCCGCGGCCCTGCCCGGCTCTGCCGCGGGCCCGCCCGGCGCACTGGGCGCACTGGGCGCACGGAGCGGGCCGCGATGGCGGCGGCGCTGAGGGCGGCCAAGCGGGAGCTGCGGGCGGAGCTGCGGCAGCGCCTGCGGGCGCTCGGCACGGCCGAGAAGCAGCGCCAGTCCCGCCTGCTCGGGCGCAAGGTGGGTGCGGACACCCGGGCGCGGCCCAGAGCCGGGCCCGGCTCGCCGGGAAGCACGGCCGGGACTTTCCAGGCCCCGCCGGTGACCGAAACCGTGACTCAGGGGCCCTTCCGCCGAGCGGGGGCTGAGCTCCCCCTCGGAGCCTTCCCTGTCGCTTCCTCGGCTGTGCCGGGGAGCGGGGCTGGTGGCGCCGGTGTGACGGGAGCTGCCGGTGGCACCGGCTAAAGCGGGGGGTACCGGGGACACTTCACCCTGGGGCGGTGGGCATCATCACCCCTGGCCGGGTGAGCACCCTTCACCCCTGGGCTGCTGGGGACACCTCACCCTGGGGCGGTGGGCACTCTTCACCCGTGGATTTTTGGGGACAGTGGGGGCAGACTGCCACACGCCACAAGCAGAGCTCCTCGGGGGCAGGTGTTCATCTCAGACATTTCACACCAGCCTGGCTCTGTCCATACATTCAAAACCCAGCCACTGCCTGATTTGGCCTCTTGTTTTACGCGCTGTCATCTCCCTTCTGTATCTTCCAGCAGTGTTTCTTGCACACAATTTTATTTCTAATATAATTTTTACACTCGAAAAGATATCAAGCAGGGTTTGTCTAACTGGTATCCTAGCACAGAGTGATATGGGTATGTACTTCTGAAATGTCCTGTTTGTGTTTGGATTACACAGTTTTTATATAGATGTATTTTATCATTTTAATAAACATAATAAAATTTTATTTTGCAGTCACTGCATGTAATAGAGCACAGTCCTCATTTTTTTTGCAGCACCAGCGGGTGCTTCTAGATGATCTACATTTATATGGTTATTTTCCTGCCAGAGGATCTCAAATCACTTTATAGACTTCATTTACTACTAATGTGTAGCCACTTCATGAGTGGGATATGGCAGCACAGAAACTTTAGTTTGTAGGAAGTTTTAACTGGAACTTACATAACTTTTTTTCACTGGGAATGCTTTTTAAAAACATATCCCCTACTCTGTGATGATATTTCATTTTAGTAATTTTATAAATTAGCTCTCTCAATATACAAAATATAAAAATCTCTCAATTTTTAGCAAATACTGGCATGCATCCTCTTCAAAAATTCAGAGTCCTCAGCCAACCCTTAAGCACCTAGCCCATTTAGTACTGAATTTTAAGGAGCCCTCCACCTTTGTCCAACTGCTGCTGAAAAATGCAACGACAGAGCACTCATTTCTTCTAGTGAGCACACCGAAAGACACAGCCTTAGTTTTGCTTAAGAGAAGGCATCACGAAACATGACATAAATTGATGTTATCTTGCCATTTTAATAATCTGACAAAAACTGAAAATCCTGAGTTTGCTTGAGATAGAGTGGCTCTGGGCAAGTGGGTGAGAGTAGAGTCGGCTTCCTCATGGGGAGTGGGTAATACAACAGGCACAGAGAAATACTGGAGAAAGCCAAGAAAATATTTGGAATGATATAAGGCCAAAAATGTGGCTTTGTAACATACATCAGTGCTTGCAGCTAATAAAAGTGAGCAGGTTATTTTATAACACCTGAGTAATATTTTTAGTAGTAAAACCTCATTTCAAAATAATCTTTAAATTCAAAGTGAAATAGCTTCACAGGCCAACCTAGCCACCAGTATTTAATTAGCTTCTGGATGATTATTCTTTTTTAATGCTTCTGTTCATGATTAAAGTCATGCTGTTTGCATGCTCTGATTCTGAAAAAAAGTGTCATCAGCTGCTGAACAAAGGGCAGATAATATTTTTTAAGTGTGGAAATTTTTTCAGTCTTCTCAGAAACCGCTCCGAGTCATAGTAGGAGCATCTGAACAATTCTGAAAACATCTGAAATTGTGTCTTCCTGCTCACATGTGGATTTACATCTTCAGCCTCATTTTTTTCCTCTGCAGCCTAATTAATGTGTTACTGGATACATCAGAGCAGATGGGACCTGTGTGGTGCCCACAGCACACAGCCCTTGTCTGGAACTGTCTCAGTGTCTCACTTTCTCTCTTCACCAAACCCATGCAAAGTTTTTTTGGCTCTGGAGACCCTCAACATGAGCCACAGCCATTTTCTGGAGTCTGCTTTTTGCAGCAAAAGCTACGATGAAAATTCTGATATTTTAAGAGCTTAATCCTGTGGAAAAATCCATGTGTACTCTTAGACAGATAGAAAAGGAAATAAAATGCGGTTTTGAATTTTCAGGATGTTTCTGTGGCCAAGCAACACATGCACCATCATTTAGTCTGGAGTGTTTTTAGGTTTTTTTCCCTTACAAAATTACATCCATCTTGTGAATATTTCACCTGGGTTTTTAACTGCTGTGATGGAAAGAAAATAAAAAATGTAGTGGGAACCATATCTTGACTCAGATATGGGCATTTGTATCTCAAAACAAGGCCAGGGCAAAAGCTAAAGTTCAGAAGAGTGAGTTACCCTGCAGTTATACAAACATTGAGCAGGGGATCTGGTGATCTCTGTTCTGTAGATAGTAGAGAGTTTCTCAATTGTTTGATATTTTTGACAGATTTTTGTAAGTGTGTAGAATAACAGTAAATCACGTTTAAATGAGTAGGGACACATTTATATTTGTTTTGTTCAGATGTAAGTGACAAAATATGTAAGGTACTAGAGAATGAGAAGACAAGATTTTAAAAGCTTCCTTTCAAATTTTAATGTGGAATTCAGTCTGGAATGGGCAGACAAGTGAGGTATGAGTCTGCTAACACTTTTTCACCATATAAGCATTTTTTATTTTCCCTATTATATTCAGCCTTTTATAAGCCCAGCACAGAGTCTCATGAAAAGCAAAAAGCGGCAAGGCCATCTTTCCTTCAAGCTCTGAAAAATGTGCAGTAATAAGATCACCTGTTAGAAGCAGGTGATGTTTGAAGTTATATATCTCATCTTGCTGGAGGGAAGACATTCAGGTTAACAAAAGAAAGAGGGGCCTGGTCATGGAAGACTTTGTGCTCTGCAGTCATCTGCTCTGGTGCTAATTTTCCTTTGAGTTATTATCAGTGAGGCGCTTCCCGTTCTGCCTGGGCCCAGATGAGAGATGCAGCTTGTAAAAAGGATGGAAGAAAAGGAATGCTAAACCCTCATGGCTTGAATAAGCTGGCAGTTCTGGCCTGCTGTATCTTTCTGCAGTGATGTTGAGCATTTGAGGATGTCTGCACTGTATGGTACAGATCTTTAGGGGATTGGAATGTTGTCTGCCAAATTGTTTTCTGCTCACCCAAACCTGTGTTGCAGTGTTTAGTTCACTAGATGCAAAAATTTGCCTGTTTTGATTTTGCTGATGGAGAAATGTTGGAGTAGGCAACAAAGCCAGTTTATTCTGTTTATGATGCATCTAAGTTTGTATCTCTGCCCTTTTCAATGAATATTTTGCTCCAGTTTTGTGTTAAATTAAAGGAAGTTGATCTTTCAAAAAATTTTCCTAAACCGATTGCATCCATTTCCCATGTAGGTGATTGCCCATCCCAAGTACCAAGAATCCAAAAGAATTGCAATCTTCCTGAGCATGCCAGATGAAGTCCAGACAGAGGAAATCATTAAGGACATTTTTAAGCAAGGCAAAGAGTGTTTCATACCCCGCTACAAACCTCAGAGCAATCACATGGACATGCTGAAGTTATCATCAGCTGAAGACATTTCTTCACTTGCTTTGACATCCTGGAATATTCTTCAGCCCAGTGATGATGACACTGCAAGAGAAGAAGCTTTTGCTGGCGGTGAGCATTTTCTTGCTGCATTGTGGGATTGTTGAGCAGGAGTAGCCTGGAGGCTGATAGGAAATACTCTGATAGCAAGAATGAAGTTAAATATTACACCTTGGTTTTATACACTGTAGAGAAATGCTCTTTGCTCTTGCCTGTTTTTCTCTTCCCTGTGCCACCCCTGTGACATGCCAGCAGGACAGGAACAAGACTGCACCGGTCCAACTGAAAGAAAACTCAACCCTCCAGATAAATCTTCTTGGTCTGATCCATGAATATCCTCAGCACAGTCTCAGCCTTAGAGAGTCTGAAGCCTGTAGAGGCTTGTAACGGAGGGGGAGGCTTGCTGGGGGTATCTTAGCCACTGAAAGTCACAGGGATCCAGGTTTAGGATGTACTCTGAGAACTTTGGTTTGTGCTGCCTGAAAGGTTGGGAGCTTCTCAAGTGATGCCCATAGACTGAGAATTTTCTGAAATCTTTGATCCTATGAATTGTGTTGCATGGATGAATCAAAGTGCTGATATAGAGCCTGCCCTTGTAGAACAGCTCTCTGGACTGAGACCTTAGACTGATAATGAAAGGACTTTCTTCTAGGCCTGTATGAATATTACAGTCTTTTCCAGTGTGATTCTCTCATATTTTTATTTTGATCTTATAATGCTGTCTCAGACACTGGATTCTTCATAGGGCTGAGAAGGTACAAGTTCATTAAGATCAAACTTGTGTATTTGTGTTTTGATCCCCAAATAACCTCTCTCTTAACCTAAAATTCCCCAGCTCCTACTTGTAAACAAGTTTACTTTTTGTGTCTTTGCATTCATTATTTGCATTCTTTTTTGTAAACACTTTCATATCTTCTCAAAACATCTGCAGAATGTTTAATCTTATTAATGGAAAACTCATGTTGAGCTTGTGCTTGAAACCTCAGTCTGGGAAGGTCTTCTCCAGGTTGAAATTCACCATGCAAACAGATTCCACTTCTCACACATTTGCCAGCTTTTTAGTGCTTGGTAAAGAAACATAACATTTCTATGACTCTGTTTGATTGAACTTGGGCTTGTATTTGCCTTGGGATGCTAATGTACTTTCCCAGAATGCTTAACCATGTTTGTTTCTCTTTTATTTTCAGTCATTACCTCTTCCTTAATTCATAATCCTTTCTGTGTCTACAGTTTAGCTAGCAAGGGATTTCACTGCTTCATACAATCATCTTCTTACATTTAGTATTTAGCACTGTTTATCATTTTTCTAACGTTTGTCAAAAAATATTGGTGGGATTTAGGGATTTTTGAAGGTAGGCTAAAACAATATCCAGAGTTCTGTTGACTGAGCTTAGTTCAGGCATTCTTGACAAGCTTTTGTACTACTGATGAGCTTCTGTTAATTGAATTTAAGGAGTCTGTTTCAGACATCACAGAGTAAACACACAATCTGAGGTGTGATGGGAGCAAGGACTTCCAGGTATAGAGTGCACTGAGATGTACCTGGGTGCCAGACAGTGAAGATGGGGAAGGCAGGAGCACACTTTGGTACCTGCCTAGTTCTGGAGCTGCTGCTTCCTTCTCTGCACCAGGCTATGGGCAGAGAGCAATGTCAGAAGAGCTCCTGTGCTCTACAGAGAGGTGGCAGGAGACCAGTTGTAAGAACTGATGTGTGTCTGCGTCAGACTTGTTCTGCCTGAAGCTCAATATTAGTCTGTTTGTACTGTTTGTACAGTAATTCTGGAATAATGCCATTTGGATTGGAAGTCAGACCTTGGTCCTTTATCCTAGAACAGTTTTTGTAAATTAGAGAATAAATTTAGTTTTTTTCCACTGTTGTAGCATCAGACACACATTCCTAATCTGTCTCACAGAAGCACACACTTCATCTCAATGTGTCTTTATATGCCTTTTGCTATATTTTTTTATCACCTATTATATTTTTTGAACTTTGGTACATTTGCAAGAATGCAAATTGCCTTGCTGCTGCATCAGTCCTCCATTGTTGGAATGATGCATGGATGGCACGTTTATCTCAGAGATGTTATCAAATACTTTGGTGATCTGAGGCATTTACATTGTTATAAGGAGATAACATGGTGTTACATTAGTAATGTTCCCATGGCTGGCATAAATTACTATGTAATTTTCAAGAAATAGCCTGCAGGTACATAAATAAGCCATGTCATTTCTGAGTGTATTCATTTGGCATGACAAAAAGCTTAAATTCACACTGTCCTTAAAGCATGGTTACTGTTAAGAATAGCTCAAATACAAGACTGGGTATCATTTTTGCATAGAGTTTCCCAGTCTTTGGTAGCACTCATGGGCAGTGTTGAATAGACACGAGCCCCTCCTTTTGGAGATGATCCTTTTTTCTGTTGGACCAGGGTTTACCTCTTTTCATCTTGGCAGTACTCACATCACACCGTGTTGGCATAAACAAGGATCACTGCTTTTGTGGTAGGAGAAAGTCTGTCATCTTCTCTACCACATGTGGGTGACTCACTGGCACATGAAAAGTTGCTTTCTTTAGGCTAAATGAACACAATAACAGAAAGAACAAAGGTGGAAGAAGTTCAGATATTTTGGAGTAGGGGTGTGTGTAGGTGCATGACTGGGTTTGTTTCCAGCTATATCTATTGAAAAGACAGACAACTTCTGGGGCAAGCCACTGGTACATTTTCCTAATAGGTACCAATTCCCATTTTTATCCTTGCCCATCAGAGGTATTAATGTGCACTGGTACTGGGTTTTACCCAAGGTAATATTGCTGATGAAAGTTCAGGCAGGTTGCAGTATTTGTTTACAGAAGTGTAGAAACCTTGCACAACTTTGGAAGGAGTAAATCAGATAAAAAATGTACTCTCTATTTGCTTTTTATCACTACTCCTACAGAAGTTTAAAGAACACTTCACCAGCAGCTTCATTTTCAGTGTGGTTTAGGGAGGTGCTGTGATTCACCGAGCTGGACATGGGTTCCCTCATTTGTAATGTTATTTATTATTACTTAGACCTTTTCTGAGAACTATGAGGGAAAACCTAAATTATTCTTCTGAAAAAGAGATTATTCTTACTAGGACAAAAAAAAAAAAAGAAAAAAATAAAGAAAATAAAAGGCTAGGTTGAGTGTTTCCATATGGTAAAATTCTTGGAGGCTTCTTTGAAGGGAGGCACACAGCCAGTGGTCTCAGCTGGAAGGCTTGAACGTGAACAAATATGCTTAACTGTTCATAACTGAACTACTGACTGGTAGCTGAAGGTGTGCAATAAATTATAAACAGCTTTTCTAACATTCATCTGCATGATGGAGAGAGGGGGTTTGGCCTAAATATTTTTCTTGGCCAGAAAATAAAGCCTTATTAGAAATTACAGCTCTGAATCTGCTTACTCTAATGGATTGGGACGTGCTTTTCTAAGAAATGGAAGAAATGGGATTATGTGTACAGACTTAATTCAGCCTCTTAATCTCTGTCAATTCTTTCCTGGTGTCTCAGTACATTATTACATGGTCCTTGTCCCTCAGGTGTGAACTCCCTCAAAGATGAGCCCAGATGAAATGGTCTGGGCTCTTTCAAAGAGGCAGAAGATGAACACTGCTTGCTGTTAACGCTTGCCAGTAATGAGTATCTGCTCAGTCTTTGCTTTCTCCCTGCTCAGGTTAGAGCTGCAGGGCTCTTTACTGTGCATTATTCAAACCTTGGGATGGAGATCTGCATTTCTGTATGGGCTCTTCATCGCTACACCATTCAGTGACTTAAAGACATTAAGTGGTATTTGCTGATGGAGAAGCAGCAGAGGCTCAGGATCCTGTTGCTGCTGGAGTTGTGCAGAGGAGCTGCCCCCAGTGAATACAGATTCTTTTGCTTGTTTTTCCAACATTAAGTTTTATTCTCTGCCCCCTCCAAAACAATAATTTCCCAGATTTGTCTCAGTCTTGAACTAGACCTCCTTTTCCAAGCTTTAATTTCTCTACCACCATAATGTCCTTTTCCATCTTTCTTCTCTTTGCCCGGCCTCTCTGAAACTCCCTCCTCAAGTGTCCTTCTCTGGCCTTTCTTACTGTATTCCCCATTTCCTCCTGCTCTCAGTCCCAGCCTGTCATTTCAGGGGCAGCTGGGCCAGCATAAATAGCTTGTCTCTGCCAAAAGGGAAGAGATCATGTGTTTTGTCTTCTTTCACTTGTCTGCTTCCAGACATACAAGAATCTCTGTCCCAATTTACTAATTTCCTTCTTCACTGTGCTGGCTTCTTTCTCTTTTTCCTTGGCTTATAAAAACTTCACTGTTTAATAGCACTTGTTCTACTAAATAGTACAAAAGACAGTGTTTTGTGATTGTTTCTTTTGGGAAGTGCCTGATTAAATAAGCTGCTGCCCTTTCTCCTCTTGTTCCCCACCCTTCCTCTCCTGTGCCAGCACAGATGGTGCTGCAGCCACTTTGGGACCTATACTGGGAAACCAGTCTTGGTTAGGAGCAACCCAGCACCAGCAGAAGTCTCTTCTCAGACAGAACCACCACACAGGTTTAGACTGATGCAACTGAAGGGCTGTTAGGAAGCTGATGGTGAGGAGTTGTGAAAATGGGTGTCATGCCAAAACAAGTCTCAGTGAAACGTCAGTCATAATTTCCTTCCATATTTCAGTTCCCAGTCTTGCCCCAGGCAGTAGGAATAGGAGCAGCCAGTCAAATGAAAGTCCTTCGGAGTCCTCACAGCTGAGATGGGTCTGGCAGGAGGAGCTGAGCCTGCAGCTCCATGTGCTCCATCTGTATACCAATGCCAGCCTAAGGAGTTTTCCTTCCTTATGTTTTCAGCCTATTCCTGCCTCTCTCTGGTGAGCTGGATCAACCTGCTGCTCTGGGTGAAGATTATTTCCCTTCTTTCCCCTCTCCTGTTTTCGTTGGGATTTTTTTGAACCCAGATGAGGATATGGATTACCATGTGGCCATGTGTGTGGGGAGGAGGGAATGAGTAGCCAGGAAGGAGGGAACATCCTGGACAGGTTCCTTGAGAGAGTCATGGGGCCACCCGTG